TATACTTGTTGGATTATTCAAATCTTGACTAAAACAAAATACGAAATGCTCATTAACTGAAGCTACTCCACGTGAATGCGATCAACAAAGAACAACCTTTGTTTTTTGAAAAAAAAAAGTAAGAAGAATAACTTTCTTTTTTTAAGATTATACTAAGCTATTATACTGATACAAAATGAATCAAAAGCTAAGATTATATACTAAGCTGTGAATTTTTAAGAAAGAGGAACAGTGTGAAATTCAACCTTTTGGCGCGTGCATATTCCAACAGTTTGAAATTCAACATTTTGAAAGCTAAGATTATACTTGATAGTGTGAATCTTTCCTCTCCTTCAAATATTAATTCAAGTTCCAACTGGAATTGATACATAATTCGTTGTAGTTGTTCTCTTCCAAGTTCCAACTGGTACTCGCTCTTTCCCTCTCTCTCTCTCTCTCTCTCTCTCAAAATAAAGAATCAGCTTTCTAGTTTCAGAGTTTCTGCTGAGACCGAGAGGGATGCGAGCAACAAGAACCCTGAGGTTGTCGAAGAGATTAGATGAGTCCTGATGAGTTTTGAGAGAGAGAGACTAATGAGTAATAATTTGATATTCTGTTGAATAGAGTGGAAATGGATGACATTCTAGTGTAGTTAAGTTCATACTAAATGTATGGACTCTAACAAACAACCAATTAAAACATGACATCTAATTTGAAGTGCGGTTTTCAAAAGCTAAAACCAAAACCAAACCGTCTCTCTCACTTCGGTTTAGTTTCAAAATCGCAACCGTTTCAAAACCGTAAAACCAAATTGTTCGGTGCGATCTAATTTGGTTCGTGTTTCGGTTTTGATTTTCGGTTTCAAGTTCCCATCCCTAAACACAACTTATCACAAGCCAGCACAATTTTTACACCTATATATCTAATCCAAGCATAGGTGCAATCCGTAACAAATCAAGCGTGCACACACACCCTTCAACACTTTCCTCTCTCTGACCCTCTTTCGCGGTAGAGACAACCCTAATCTACCCATCCTTCGCCATTAAAAACACATGCACTGAACAAAAAAAAAAATTAAAGTTATGGGATTACCGCATCGCAGCTGCAACCCAGCTTTAATCTACCTCAAATATGTTCCAAACTCCAGCTCCCTCTCTCTGCCTCTCTTCCCCTTTCTTTCCATTTTCAATGCGTGCAACGGCCAACCCCTCTTTCCCGCTTGCTCCCTATTTCCCTCCCCCAGACAAAACATCTCAACTGAATAAAAAAATTATAAATTAAATGCACCAGTCACAACAACTCGATTCTACTCGTGAGCTCGTCCATTCTCAACCGTAAGATCCTTGTTCACATGGATGGTCTGCTCGCTTTGTCCTCACCTTAGAAACAACAATGTAACTCTCATTTTATATAGTGAAACCGGATTGACACCAATGTGAACGTAGCCGCAACTTGGGGTGAACCACGATATATCTGTGTGTTCTTGTGTGTGTGTGATTTGCGGTCGAATTTTACGTTGTTCCAAGATCGATCGATTTTGTGCATCAACACTTTCAGTTGCTTGCAACATCTTGAACTTTCTGATCTACCAACTCTGCAAGGCTTTTGCACAGAAAATTGCATTGTCAAAGTTCCACCATAACACACTTTGATTGTCGAGGACTGCTAGCTGATCAAGTTAAATATTTCTTCTAATGGGTTATTCCAAAGTGATCAAAAACCAAAACCACAAGTAGCAAAGACATTGGGGAAAGAGGAAGAAGAAGAACATGATGATGACGGCGATGCATGATTAAGATGGCAATGATGATGAAATGGTTAGCTTCCATATGCTAACTTTGATAATTCATAGTTTCTATTACTACTTGTTAGTATTCACTTATCGACACAAAATTTGCAATACTCCGTACATATAGAGTGAGTACTGATAGGATTTTTACCACCTACAAAAGTAGGGATAAAAACACAAAAATATTTGCAAGAGTACAAGATTATCATAGTATAGCAACTCAAGAAAAGTCGTTCTCCACAGGAATTGAATGAATAATTTGTATTTAAACTAATTCTTAATTAACTATTTAAAACAAAGTTTAGAAACAATTGATTTTGGAATTTAAATTATTAAAAACGATTTTAATAAAAACAATTTAATAAATTGGTAAGAAAGCAAATTTAAGGAAACCAAATTAAAAGAAAATTGTTTTTTAGAATTAAATTGTAAAAGTACTAAGGTTCCACCGTCATCTTAACAATCCTATGTAGTTTTACTAATTACTTATGACTTATACATACATATTTTGAATGTTAGGTTTTCCTAAAGTATGCCTACTTGGACCCCTAATATAGAGCGTATATCAAAAATGCAACCCGTATGTGGTGTCTAGATCGAATGTAAACATGAGAGACTCATTAAACTTTGTAAAAACCTTTTGAAAAACCATGCAACTTTTAAGACATGGTGTCCATCTTAAGTGAAGTTACACATATTAACCACAAGAAGCCTTAGTCAAATTCAGGGACAGCCCTCTGCCAAAATTGTATCAAACTACTTTTCTAAATATCCTAATGGTGGCCAATCATCAAGACAATTAGATAGTTTCAAACACGGTGATTAATAATTCAAAACATGTATGCATAATATCATAAGTAAATTGAAAAGAAACTACATATTCTTGCTAAGGCTCGTAGCCTCGCCCTAGCAAAAGAAATTAGTTACTAACAATCATAAAACAAAATATTCTCAAGAACATGGATAGAAAATACATTGAAAGAAAAGTACAAATCCTTAAAGCCTAGCAAAGTTCTCTAAATGGATCTCCCCCTTAACACTACTAAAAAGGGATATCACTGGCGCTATAAAACCAACAAAACTTACTATCGGATTTTTGGTAAAAAATCCGACATTAAATCGTGCAATGTTGGATAGTGGAAGCGACGCCAATACTACCGTCACAAAAGGGTATTGACATCGCTTATCTCCCTTAATCCACCACCAAGAAGGAAAGTAATATAAAATAAAAAAGAACAACGTTGCTTAAAAGCGACATCGGTTCTTACGTCGCTTAAAAGCGACATGGAAATCTAATATAATGGCGGTCCAAACCGACATTAAGTGACAAATAAACAATTAAAATATCACACTTATTGTCGGTTCAAACCGACATCACCTAACTTAAATAAATAAAATAGTCAAGCTACTGTCGTCGTAACCGACATTACCTACCATCTAGATAAATAAAATAATTAAGCTACTATCGTCCATAAGTGACACCAAATATATTAATAATAAAAAAAATTTTCCGTTTTTAATTAATAATAACCAAAATGACCAAACCCATATGAAATTGGTAGCCAAAACCAGGTCTATTGCTGGCTAGGTTTTCTCATAGTGGGTAAAGAACAAAACCCAACAATAATTCACGGTAAATCGCAAAACCCATATGAAATATAGAATCTTTAACAACAATTCACAGAAATTCGAACCTAATTTCATAGAAAATGAAAACCCATTTCTTAAATTTTGAAGGGAACAAAGAATCTAAACAAGAAAACCCCATCGGAAGCAGATTGAAGAAGAACCCGCATGGGGAACCCGCTGACTTGCTCAAAATGAGTGTGAAGTCGAAATGGGTTCACCTGAAGTTGTTCGACGGGGACAGGGCTATGCCGCATTTCTTCGAGTTCGTCTTGTTGTTGGGCAGTCTTCTGATTGCTTTGCTGCTCCATTGCTCTGCTGATTGTAGCTCCGCGACGACGAAGACGATGATGTCTACTGACGCGAAGATGCAGAAGGAGAAAGAGAATCTCGCTGACTCTCTGAGCTATACACTTTCAACAACATTTATGCGGTAAAAACAACAACAGATTGCTCATCGCTTACCAGTAATTTGAAGAAGCACATTTAACACATAAATTACGCGTATGCTTCGAAAAAGTTTCAAAATTTAAGATCTAAGCTTATATGATAATCCATCCCTCTTAACAAAAGTTCCATAATTCTATCTTTGCTAGATTTTAACATTTTACTGACATTAAACAATTAATGTGAATTGGGTCAATTAGCACTAAATCCTCAGTTAATTATTCTTCAAAAACTCAGAACCCCAATTCCGATGAGCAATTCCCAATGACATGCAGAGCCTTTTCGAGCTCGATTTCGAAAAATTTTCCATATGGGTTCTGATGAAAAGAAAATTCAAGCACAAACTAATCTGGAAATGCAATCACATTAAGCTGGAATCAGTTTAAATTTATGTTCTTTCAGCTCCCAAATTACTAATATAAATGAAAAAAAAAAACCCCTTTATTTTCTTCTCAATTTGTTTCATTTTCCCGCGTTTTCTCGGCAACCAAACAGACCACGATTTTAAAATTTCACCGGCAACGAACGAAAATCAGATGAGATATTGACGAGGGTGAAAATATTGGATCGAGGATTCTATTCATACCTTTGATGTAATATCCTGAAAATTTTAAGTGGGGATTAAAAGTGAATCACTTGTGGTCTTTGTTAGCAAAAATTGATTTGCCTTATTTGGGTTAGATCAATTGGCCTTTGGCCATTAAAAAAAAACAAAAAAGATATATATATATATATATATATATATATATATATATATAAAGAAAAAAAAAAGAAGGTAAAGTTGATGTTTGGGATATAAAAAAAAGGGATGTGTTCTAGAAATCCCTACTTTTCCTTCTTGCCTTCTCTCCAGCCGAAAGTAATGAAAGGGGTTTACCCCTTTTAGCTCTTCACTTGTCAAAAAGGAAATTTAAGGAAGAGGAGTTTAGTTTTCTTCGTTTGTGAAGATTAGAACAAGTGAGGATCTTTCCTTTGTCTCTATTTAAGGTATCTATTTCTTACCTTTGGGATCTATTTGATTTTTTTGGTTTGTTAACCCATGAATTAGTTTGGGTGGGAGTAAAAGAACATGAAGGTATCATAGTTCATGTTATAGTTTTAGAGTTGAGCACCAAGTGTTTGATTTAAGTCCCCAATTAACCTTGAATTAGGGTATGTTGTTAGATATTTGTATAAGTGGTGTGTGATGATTTTTCTTGTTTATAGATAAGGAAGAGAAGGACAAGGGGATGACACAAGTCGACGAACACCCTGGAAGTTGAATATCAAGAAATTGTGTTGAGGTAGGGGAGTTTTAATCAAAAATAAAATATTTTGGTTTTTCATTTTAACTTGATCAAGGATTGATGGCATTTGAACATTTTTTTGAAGCTTACTTAAAATGTTTTCTTTTTCAATTATGTGAAAGAAGTGGAGAAAATATTTCACTATGGTTTGATCTTAATGATTCGAATTCCGTTACTACAACTTTGGTGAGTTTAAAGTGATTGAAATGATTTTTCAAGATTTTGTTTTGATGTGCATGCCTCTTATTTTACTCAATACCAAATACTGAAGCATCTTAATACAAATGTTCAAATTGTGAAAGTAGATGGAAAGTAGTGTAATACCTGTGCAGTTGAGAATGTTGAGAAATGTATGAATGGGCACAATGACCCAAGGTTCCCCGGGGAAAGCTCCATGTGTGGGGGCTATGAAAATGAGTTACGAAAGTGATAAATACATGTGATATGTGTATTGGCCAGGTATATTACGGTTCTTTCTAATCTGCTTGTCACTTGTTTGGGATAAAAGAAGATCCTTGTGATTTGGTGTGCTAGTGATTCTTTAAATGATAATGGCTTTGTTATCCTTATGACAAAAGAAGTGATTTTTGAACTTGTGTGTTGTACCGTTGTTATCAAGCTGCTAATGCTCCGAAACCTTTGGTTTTTCTGTCATATGTTACTTTCCATAAATTTATGAGCATATTTCAAATTGTTGGATTACGTGGTGGTGAAAATAAACTATTTTGAATCACTTTTATTACTTTCGGCATGCACTAGAGATTTTAAATGACTACGGACTTACCCCTACTGGGCATTTTATGCTCACCCAGTTTTTCTACACATGTACTTTTAGGTGTGTAGAGTCGACTAGCTGATTTTCAAGTGGCAGCTCTAGTGTGGGTTAGTTGACGGGAGTCCAGGCGTACACTTCTTTTGGGTGAGCTGCCAAAGTGTTTGTATAGTTAGTTTCTGTTTGTAAATGATCATTTTGTGGCGTAGTAGACTAAAATGATGTCGACCTCGGTGGGTTGGAGATTCTACTTACCTGGGCTATGAAAACCATGTATATATAACTACTCGTCTTTTGGCTTGTATAGTTTTGCTCATGTACATTTTCCTCAAATAGCATGAAAATGTTTTCTTGTTAGAAGCCCTAAAGGTCTTTTGTGAACTTATTTTAATCTGTAAGGTTTTATGAATGGCTCTTGAAGAACCACTATGAACTTGGTTACGTTTAAAATTGTGGGTGTGTATCTATTACCTAAGTGGTATGTTGCAAAAATTCAGATTTTTGTTCTTTGGAATATAGATAGTTTTATTTGCAAAGTAATTTGGAGCTGCTGAAATTGTTCTTACATGAAAACAGCAGCATGCCTGTTTTAGTTTTAACATTTTCCTATACTTCCCGAACTCGGAAATCAATGAAATTTTGACACAACTTAGTTTCATGGGTCTACTTTGGATCTGGAAATTTTCACTCATTTTGGTTGAACGAGCTATTTTCGGTGAATTTTACGGTTCAGGTCGCTTTTGTAGTTTGTATTACCATGAGATCTTTAACTCTATTTCTTTAAATTGACTTTTGTAGTTTAACTTTATGAAAATTGGGGGATTTAAATTTTCGTCGACATAATCTTAAGATGAGATTTGTTTTGCATCCTTAAACGACCACTTTGTTCTATTTATTTTACTTAATCTCACACCTCAAGTTTTGGGGTGTGACATTGGACGACGACGTTTTAGTCGTTTCTCGGCTGTCCATTTCGTGCTTCGCCCTCCACATAAAAATTCTCTCTTTTTCCGAATCTTGCCGAACAGCCGGAGGAGGAGGATGACACCGTATGTGCTCAATTCGGTTCCTCCGTTTATATTTGGGAAGAAGGTGGAGGGAATTGGTATTTTATTGAAAATACGGCGTCGGTTTAAATAAATGTTGGTGTCGGTCTTTACCGACACTAACTTCTGACACACTTTTTGTGATTTACGTAGCGTCGGTTAAAACCGACACTAAGTCTGACATCCATTTACTCGTTCAAAACAAACGGGAATTTCTCGCCGTTCAACCAAAAGAAAAAAAAATATTCAACCCAAAGTTTAAATTTCCCGCCTAATATGTTCAACCCAAAGCAAAAAAATATTCAACCCAAAGTTTAAATTTCCTGCCTAGTTTAAAAAAAGAAATGTTCAACCCAAGGGAAAAAAAATAACCAGCTCTTTTTTTTTGTGTTATCTCATATAACATTTTAAGATTTTAATAAATAAAATTTAACTTGAATAAAATACGTAATAAAAAAAATAAATATAATTTTATTATAAAATATTATCACATACTAATTGAAACATAGTCTAATTAATTCTTAAAATACATAAAATAATTAATATATTTATTCCAAGTCATCATCTGTTAGGTTGTCATCGGTATTGGCATAATTAACGAACTTAGTAGGCAACGGTAATGATTCATGAAAATGAGTCTCTTCCATGCCAACCCTTGTAAGGAAATTTTCATTGTCAAGTATCTGATCATCCAAATTGGGTATGACATAATCATCAAATCTCTCAGCTGCGTTCGAACAACTAAGTGCCAATCTTTTTCAATTGTGTCATCAATGTAAAATACTTGTAATGCTTGTGATGCTAATATGAAATGATCCTCTTTAAATCCCAATCGATTGAAGTTCACCATAGTAAATCCATATTGATCGGTCTTCATTCCTTGTTGACTTTCACTATTAACCCATCAAAACGATATATTCACTAACACTTAGAGTTTATTTATACTTTCATTAGCTAGTACTCGTTTGAGTTGGTTTTTATTTATTCGTATTCTCTATTATTGTTATTGCTTCCGCACAGTGAACATGGCTACGTCACTCTCACGTGACGGCCAGCATGCCTCGATCTCGGTCGGAGTGTGTCACAAGGAGTGTTGCTATAAAAAATAATCAAAATCGGAGTTAAAATAACCGTTAAATCATGATTTTTCGTTTATAATCGTCGAAAAGTTTTGTCCCATTACTTGATCTCTGAATGTTTGTTTTTTGTGATATCCACTAGTGTAAATATTTTAAATTGAAGATCGAATTCGTTCATTGTATTCATATAGGGTCAAAGAGTGTAGCTATATATATATATATAATATTAGAAATATTAAAATATTAAATATTAAAATTAATGTCGGTTATAAGCGACATTAGTATTAAAAATATTAAAATAGTTTTTTTAATGCGACACTAGTATTAAAAATATTAAAATTAATGTCGGTTATAAGCGACATTAGTATTAAAAATATTAAAATAGTTTTTTTTAATGCGACACTAGTATTAAAAATATTAAAATTAATGTCAGTTATAAGCAACATCAGTATTAAAAATATTAAAATATTAAAATAGTTTTTTTAATGTGACACTAGTATTAAAATTATTAAAATTAATGTCGGTTATAAGCGACATTAAAAGTTTATGTCTGTTGACAGTAACTCCGACACCATATTAAGTGGGTGTCAGAATGTCTTATCCGCCACTATGTTGTATAAAAGCGACACCACCCACCGACACAATAAGGCCCTTTTGTAGTAGTGTAACCTAATGGCTAAATAGCGTTATATATATTACTACATTATTGATGGGAATTGAATATGTCCAACCTCTCTCCATGATAGTTTACATCTTATTTGGGGTCAAATTTGTTCAATTTGTTCAATTTGATTGACCCAAAAAAAAAAATTTGTTCAATTTGTTTGCCTAAGACTACTAAAATTGATGATACTTTGATTTTGACTAATTCTTCTGATGGTCATATCACGCTTTCTCGTGCCTATGATATTAAACGAAGCAAGCAACCTTTGGTGGTTTGGGACCTTTGGGTTTGGAATTCTTGTTTTCATAGTAGAAATTCTCTTTTTCTATGGAAATTCATGCATGGGAAAATTGTTACAGATTCTTTATTACATGATAGAGGTTTTGCTTATCCCTTCATGTGTTTGCTTTGTTGCTCACATGTGGAAACCCCGAGACATTTGTTTTTTTAATGTTCTTTCTCACGTCAGGCTTGGTCTTCATGTTTAAATTGGTTTGGGGTGATCTCTCCTTTTGATGATATTATGACCTTCTTCACTTATCCTATTCGCAAAGGCTATGGCTCCTAGATTCAACTTCTATGGTGGGGTTTAATTGGAGCCTGTTTATATTGTCTATGGATAGCACGTAATAAGCTTTGTTTTGACGATAGTCGACCTTCCACTACTGTTATTGTTCACTCAATTAATGTTAGCTCTGTTTGCACTCAAAATATACCCATTTTTACTTATTTGGGCAATTTGGGTAAAATATGGCATTTGGAGGATTAATATGCAAGAAAGCTAACTTGGAAAGATATTTAGATGCAAGTGGAGGGGTTGGACACTATAATATTGTTCTTCCAATTTGTTTTGGTGGTGGAGATTTGTCAAGCATTGTTTAATCAAGATACATGCATCCTTGCAAATGGGTTGGAAGGCAACATACGGGTGTGGATGCTAGGAACAAATGAAAGAAGCCAACTTGCTTCTTTTAAATGTTAGTTTATTACAAGTGGGAAAACATGTGATGAAAGCTTGTGGTGGAAATGCAAGTTCCCCTTTTAATATTATTTCTCCATGCAAGTTGGCAAGTGAAAAGCATGCAAGCTGTCTAAAGCAATGGAATACAAGCTGCCCAAGCTTCTTTCGGGCAGATACAAAACCTCAGCAGGAGGGTTTCCTCCAGACCTCTATAAAGAGGAGCAGCTGCACAAGGATTATGGACACTCAAACAAACAAACAAAAGCCAAAACTCTGCTCAAGCCAGATTTGCCTTCAACGAAGCTGTAGTCAGCACAAGCCTTCATCCCTTTTGGGATCAACCTTCACCAAAAAGCCTTATTTTCTCTAGTTTATTAGCTCTGCTACTCACTTGTAGTATCGATTTCATTTGTAGCTTTTATGTACTCATTTCCAGTCATATAAATTACAAGCAATCTGCAATATTAGTCACTTTCCTCTGTCAATTACATTTCCAAGCAACCTTGTCATTTACATATTGTTCTATCTCTTCATATAAGTAAAGTCCTTATTTTTAAGGCAAACAAAGAACCTTAATTTGAGCAACTCCCACTCAAATGGCACAATCTCTTGATTTGAAATCAAAAGGCGCAACCTCAATCATTCAAATCCCGTCTACTAGCGGCATCTAGTAGTGGCACGCCCGCACCCACCAATCTCGTATGTGCAGTAAATCCCCGACTTGCCCGCAAGGCCCCATGGCGGATTTAGGGAGCGAACAAGCTCCTTGAAATTGATTCGCTGAGCAAGGGAAAACATGAAAAATTCTATGGAAGAACTTTGCACACTTTGCGCGATTGGTTTGTTTGGTCATCCTGCCAAGTCACCTTATGTTAGTGAAGTTTTATGGAAACCACATTCTCTACATTGGGTCAAGGTGAATACTGATGGTGCAACTTGTGGATCACTGGGATTGGCTGGTACTGGCGATATCTTTTGTGATCATTTTGGTTCATATGTAGGATGTTTTGCTACTTCTTTAAGGGTGGCTACCTCTTTTGAAGCTGAATTACATGATGTAATTCATGCGGTAAACTTAGCTTGGGAGAAGGGTTGGCGTTCCCTTTGGATTGTGTGTGATTCATCATTGGCTGTTTTTTTTCATTCCTGCTTCTAATAATCGTGTTCCCTTGCATTTGAGGGTTCATTGGTTGAATTGTCAAGCGTTGCTCTCTTCTATGTGCATAAGAGTTACACATATTTTTCATGAAGGGAATCAGGTGGGTGACTGTTTGGCAAATTTTGGAGTGGACCATCTCGAGATTTATTGGTGGGACTCTTGTCCTCCTTGTGCTATTACTGCGTATCATCATAATCTTTCTCTTCACCCCAATTTTCAATTTTGTTATGATGGGTTTTACATTGTTTTTTTTTTTGTAATTGGGTTTTCTTGTTTCAAGCAGTTTTCTACTTCTTGTTAGGGTTTGGCTTCAAAAGTTGTTTTTAGCGGGTATTGGCTTAGTTCCCCCGCTTGTATTACTTTTCCTTTTTTTTCTTCATATTATTAATAAAATCTAGTAGAGAGGGGACGGGAGGGGGGTTTCTGGGTGCAACGGTCCTTTCTCCTTCGGGAGAGGGTTGGTGCCTCACACATGACTGTTGACAAAGAGCTAATCTAGCCTAATCCATCTCTACAA